GGGGAAGCTCCGCTGCCCTGGGGCTCACCTGTCAGCACCCCAATTCCTGCGCCACCCAACCGTCCCACACCCTCCGACCCGCGTTTCCTTCCCTTCTCTCCACTCTAGTGAGACCCTCACTTCCTTGCCTGGCAATCTCCTTTGACCAGAATGCCCTCTGCCCTGTCTTCCTAGACCCTCTCCCTCCCCAGCCTTTGCTCCCCCCTCCTTCTCGTCTCCTCGGTTCCCAGCTGCCTACCCAGGCTGTCACCCGAAGAGCCCAGCCGGCCGGGAACGCCGTTTGGTGTCAGCGGGCGCCGGGCCGTCTGCAGCCCAGAGTTCCCCCAGCCCCACCTGGTGGGACCGGCGCCCCGCCTCCCGCCCCACGGTGGCGCCTACTCGCTGCTGACTCCCGGCTTCACAGAAAGACAGCTCCGAAACTTCGCGGGAGGGAAAGGAAAAGACGAGAGGGGCCGAGGAAGCCGGAGGGCAGCGGGCGGGGGGACGGGTCTCCAGGGTGAGACAGCGTAGGGCGGAACGGGCGAGGTGGGCAGGTGACCGGTGGAGGAAGACGCCCGAAATTGGCAATGGAGCCGAGGGCGGGCATGGGGGCGGGGGGGCGCCGGGGAGAGGGAGGGGCCGGGGAGGAGGGCCCGGGCTGCGCGGGAAGGAGGGGTGAGGGCACCACCAAGAGGAGCTAGGTGGAGGTGGAGGGCTGGCCGGAGCAGGAACCAGCAGGCACTCGGGGGAGGGTCCGCTTAGCCGTCTTTGAATGACACGTGCTTGTCACAAGGCGGTCCGCGCCGTCGGTGACAGGAACCCCTGCCCCGCCCCGCCCCGCCCGCATCGCTAAGCCCGCACCTCTGACCAGATCTGGGCTGGGAACGGGGTTTGGGGGGAGGAGCGCGGGGGCCCTCGTGTGGTAAGGAGGCTGGAGCCCCGATGTGCCGAGGTGGGGGAAGTGGAGGGCCAGGGCTGCTGGGGAGGCCCGGGATCAGACTGAAGTCCGTTCTGCGGGCGCCTAGGGGAGGGACTGTGAAGGGGGCTTTCAGGGCGGAACAGGGGTGAGAGGGGTTCCTTGGCCTGAATCTGGCTGGGATGACACGTTTCCCTCCAAGCTTGCTTCCGGGAGGGACAAGGAACCTAGATCTAGGAGGAATACTGGTGAATGGCCTCAAGGACACCACCCCATCTTAGCTGTGTGAACACTAGGGTGGAAGGGCGACAGAGGCAGCCAGACCTGGGGTAGGCACCTGGCAGGTGCTCGGTCAACAGCTTGTTGACAGTCAGGGATGGAGGGAGCAGGCTAACTTCATTGCTGGGGGCCAGCTCATAGGGGGACTGTAAACGTGTGTGAAGGTACAGGGATGAGGGCTTTCAAGACGTGTGTGTGTGTGTGTGTGTGTGTGTGTGTGTGTGTGTGTGTGTCTGAGGGAACATCAGAAGATGGTGTTGTAAGAGCATGCATTAGAAGGTGAGGTGAGGAGCATGTATGAGGGCATGTAGGTGTGAGTGCACGTGTGAGCCTGGGCACAGCAGGGAGGGCAGGAGGGGTAGGGAGCATGTGGCTATATACAGACGTGATGGAGAATCTGGTAGTGACTGTGGTCTCAGGACACTCCAGAAAGGCTGATCCTGACGGTCTCACCTAGAGGGGCTGGGCCAGAACGAAGACCCAGCTAGGCTGTGGAGTGTTGGGACATCCGACTTCAGGATGAGAGGGCAGGATGTAAGCCTAGGCCACATTCCATCCTGGGGTTCTTGCAGCTTGGTTGGTGGTAACCAGATGTAACCAGGATGTACCCCAGGACCTGCGCTGCCCCTTCCCCACCGGATGCTGGGATTATCCCATCCGGCTCAAGGCTCACCCATGGTCCCTAGCACCGCTCTGGAGGCTTCCTCGACCCCTAGCCCAGGCTCTTGGCTCTGGACCCCAGAGGCCCAGGAGACCCTTTTAGGAGGTTGGAACTTCAAAGGAAAGTACCCACGGTCCACCTGTCCCCCCACTTAGCTATGTGACCTCTCCAGAGCACCTGGCAAAAAGGGGGTGGGAAGTTAGAGACAGGGAGGTCTAGTGACTCATAACGCCTCAGTGGGGCCACGCCCCCCTGAGAATCTAATACAAACTACAAACTGCTTCAAAAATTTGTGTGCACACACAGGTTAGGAGTATTTGGGGGTGCCCAAGTCTCCTGCGCATGTTACTGTAGAGAAACTGAGTCCCAGAAGAGCGATGATACACAGCCAGTCTCCAAAGGGCAGGGTGGGGCTGCCCTCAGGATGTCAGTCTGTGAGGCGGCATGTGGGCATGTCCAATCGGCTTCTCCGCAGATGGTGCCAGGGCAGCGTGAGGCTGAGATAAAGCCTTCCAGCCCAGGGTCCAGTTCACTGCCATCTTCAGACTGACCAACAGACTAACCATTAGGCCTTCCGAGGCCACACGCAGGTTCCCCTGGCATCCTCAGAGAGCTGTTCACAGCCCTGCTCTTCATGCTGTCCTGGGCACCGACTGGTGGCTAAGCACCCCACCTCAGGGCTCACCTAAGCAGCCAGATCCCCTCCTGCCCCCTCTCTCAATGTCAACCCCCTCCTGGAAAAGGGCTCTGGGGAAGGGGAGGGGAGGGCAGCTCGTACCATCCCCACAGGCAGTGCTGTGAGTGGACAGAGATTGTCTGGGTGGAGGAGTTGGTGTCCCACCGCCAGGAAGTCCTGGTGCCCTGTACCAGCCTCTACCACCACCTCCAGTTGGGCTGGCGCCTGGGCCCACCCCCAATGGCGCACACTGGACTCACTTCTGACCTTGGGCTCTGCCCCATCTACAGGTGAGTGGGGCCCAGTCCCTGACCTGTCAGGGAATGTGGGAAGCAGGTCAGTGCCCTGAAGGTGGGCATGAGGACTGGACTGCCACCTGCTATGGAACCCAGAGCAGGGGTGGGGAAGTAGGGTGCCGTGGATCAATGAGTGGGACTCATGGGTTTTCGGGACTTCAGGCATCAGGGCCCAATTAAGACAGGCTTTGAAGGGCAGTGAGTGACCCACACATCCTTCCTTAAAGCTTCTGGACCACCACTAACACCTCTTCTCCCTCCACCTGCTCCGTGGTCCAGGCTCCCAGAAACCCGGCCTGCCACTGAGACTGGAATCGTGAAGGCTTGCTGCCCAGGCTGGGAGGGCACCCGCTGTTCCCTGGGTAAGCCTGAGCCATGGGGTTCTGGGTGAAGTTGGGGGTCCAACAGGCCTGGGTTTCCTGGAGGCAACAGGTTACATTCCACATGCCTGCGTCACCAGCTTCCTGTCCTCCAGCCGGCCCAGCCCTCAAAGAATCTCACCCCGTGGGCTACTGCTTTGCCACAGGGCGGTGTGGGATGCCTAGAAGAGGGCGGTACCCAAGCCTGGGGGCACAGCTGGCAAGACAGCCTCTCCCAGGCCTGCTCTGCTGCTCTGGCCAGTTCCTCACAGGTGGGTGCTGATGCTGGGCCTGCTCCCCTCACCCCCAGGTCCTCCCAAGGTGTCTGCTCCATCTCCTGTCCACCTAGGGGCCTGCTCCTCTCTTGAGCCCGCTCAAGAATGGACTGGTGCCCCCACCCACAGTCAGATGCCCACATTAATGCCCTCCTTAGGCAGCACCATCACCCTGGCCCCCCTGCAGCCACTGGTGGGGACCGTGAACCAGCTGTGGAGCCAGCACCAGTGCCCCTCAACCACCTACGCCACCTGGTCCAGCTTCCAATTCCTAGGCCGCTGCATGTACCTGCGGGCAGGCGCGCCTGACTCCAGCTGGGCTGTCCACCTCCTGCCCAGCAGTGTGGTGTGTAGACTGTGTTTGTGTGTTACGATGTGAGTGTGTGCTTGTGTGGTGTGTGGACTGTGTATGTGTGTGTGAGATTGTGTGTTAAGATGTGAAAGTGTGCTTGTGTGGTGTGTGGACTGTGTGTATGTGTGTGTGAGATTGTGTGTTCAGATGTGACTGTGTGCCTGTGTGGGGTGTTGAGTGTGTCATAGGTTACTTTGGAAGAGTGTTGGGAATGCTAGGGTTGTGAGGACTCACTTCCTCCTTTCTCCCCTGGTGAGGTGAGGTGGCCTTGGGGGCACAGCCTAGAGGTGTAAGTCCTCCTCCCTGTAGGGCTGAGTCTGCAGTGGCAGGGCGACTGGCTGGTGCTGTCAGAGGGTCTGGGGGTCATCGTGCAACTGGATGGAGCTGGCTCTGTGTCCGTCTCCCTGGACCCTGGGCTCTGGGTTCTCCAATGACCAGGCTGAAGTTGAGCGCAGTGAGGTGGGACCAGCAGGGACTCCATTCTCAGTACCCTGCCTCACCGCCTAGCCTCAGATGACTTTTTGGAGCCAGATGGGGGCCTCGCAGCGTTAGCTGCCACCTTCGGGAATTCCTGACTCTGAGGTGAGACTAACCCCAGCCTCATTCTCAGGCGAGTCTCTGCTGCCAGCCCAGGATGGGGTGAGCGGGTAGCAGGATCCTGGCTGCTGCTGTGAATCAGGGGAGAGCCAGCAGTCGGGCTGTCTGATCCCTGATGCCAGCTGATGGGAATCCTCTGCCCCTTCCCCACGGCTACTCCGCTACCCTTCCATGCCAGGTGCCTGGGACACTGGGTATGTGAGGTGGGTCGTCTCACCCCAGCCAGGATGTGTGGATGTCGGAGGTTGCTCCAGGCTGCAAGGGGTCCCTGGGGGATGAAGAAGAGGTGGCCCGGCTGCGGGCTGAAGCCCAGGACATTGCCACATGTCTTTTCAGGGAGTGCCACGTCCAGGTACAGGGGGGCAGACAGCAGGTCTGGGATGACAGAGCCAGGACAAGTGGGAGGTTCTGGGAGTCAGAGGCAAGGCGTGGACCCCTTGTACTGTCAAGCGCCCACCACGGAGTACCATGAGGCTTGCCAGAGGCACAGCGGCCAGCAGGCAGGCGGGGTGGAAGGAGGCTGTGTGTGCAACCCTGGCCAGCTATGTCCGGCAGTGTGCCCAGGAAGGCATCTTTGTCCACTGGAGGAGGACTGGCTTTTGTGAACCCATCCCACCCCACCCCTCCCCACACACTTCCTGAAGGCACTGCCTCCCCGAGTGGCCTGCTGTGACCCACATCCTCTCAGGCTGACCCAGTGCTAGCTCTGGGAGGTGGTGGGTGCAGGTGCACATTGGTGGGCCTAAGTGGCTAGAAGTGGGAAGAGGTGGGTGCAGGTAGACACAGGTGGGTGGAGGTGGAAGGTGGATAACTCATGTACCCCCTTACCCCTACAGAGCATCTGTGCCCTGGGGGCCAGCTCTACATGGACTGTGTGTCCTCCTGCCCACCCTGCTGCAAGGCGGTGGGTGAAGGCAGGGAGGAGTCCTGCTGAGATGGATATGTGAGCGGCTGTGAGTGCCCCGTGGCCTGTCCTGGGACAGCGCTCTCTTGTGTATCTCCTGCCGGATGCCCCTGCTACCACCTGTGCCAGCATTATGCCCCAGGGAACATGGGACCCCAGCTGTGCGGCTCCTGGTGGGTCTCAGGCCTGGCCTGCTCTGGGGTGGGAGGTGTGGCTTCCCTCCTCAAACTGCTTACTCGCAGTTCCCTCATAAGCGATCTCAACCTCCCATGGCCTAGATGATGACCTTGGTGGCCTCCACCATGTGACCTTCAGCCCTTCTGGTGTGACCTGGAGGGAGGGTGGGCTGGGGCCAGGCTGGTGCTAGGGTGCCTCCCACTGTGTGCCCACAGTGTGTGCCAGGACGACCGCTGGCACTGTGCCCAGGCCGCATGCCCATTCGAATGTGCCCTGAGCGCTGATAGACACTACTCACCTTTGATGGCCGGAGCTTTTCTTTTCGGAGCAGCAAAGGCTGCGGCTATGGCCTGGTGCAGGTGAGCAGACTTGTGGAAGTGTGTGTAGGGGGATCACACCCACAGAGCAAGGCTCCAGGTTCTGGCCCACCTGTCTGCCCAGGACCACATGAGGGGGCAGCTGCTGATGGAGCTGGAGCTAGGAGACTGTAAGTCTGGGAGCTGCCTCCACACCATCTCTGGTGGGGGGTGGGGGGCACGTCCAGCTCAGGGACTCAGGTAGCCTCGCTCCACCAAGCTGGTTACTGCTATTCACCATCAGCCCTGTCCCCACCCCAGTTTCTTTGAGCTGACCCACAGACCCCTGTGAGCTCCCCTCCCATCTCTGAAGCAGACAGTCCTGTGGGGTATCTGAGGCACTTCCTGCCCTCTCTTTAGGGGGAGGCAAGTAGCTAGGGGCCTCACAGCATGACCAGCAATTGGAGCCATCCCAGATGTTCCCCCAGGCAAAGGGAAGGCAAAAGCAGAATGGGGCTATAGGGGCTCAGTAGTAGAGACCTCAGGAACCTCTCCTTCCAGGCATGGTTCTGGAGGATGGGCAAGAGGTGGCTGTGCCCTAGCATGGGGAAGGGGGCCTCAGCATCTCCCGAGCCTCTTCTAGCTTCCTGCTGCTGAGCTGGTCATGGGCCCAGGTCCTCTGGGAGTGTCTGATCCCACGACTTACATCTCTCTGGAGCCCCGCTATGCCCACCGGGTATGCTGGAAGTGGAGAGCTGTGGCCAGCCTGGGGGCCAGGTCTGACCAACACATCCCCCTGCTTCAGGTGCAAGGTCTGTGTGGCACCTTCACTTGGAACCAGCAGGGTGACTTCCTGACTCCTGCTGGGGACGTGGAGACCAGCATAGCTGCGTTCACCAGCAGGTTCCAGGTGGACGGCGCTGGGAGGTGTCCCCCAGGGGATGCATCCCCTTCTCGGAGGCAGCTTGTGCCATCCTGCACAGCCCAGCTTCCAGGTAGCAGGGTGGGGGTCCTTCTCTCCCACCCAGTTCCTCCATTACTTGGGGTCTCAAGGACAGTGACGGTCACAAGGAGGAGCAGTGAGGACCAAGCTGACCCATTTTCTGACCCCCAGGAGTGCCACAGGCTGGTGGACAGGGAGCCTTGCTGGCAGCGTTGCCTGGCAGCTGTATGTGGCGGTGCCCCCTGCTTTCAGCCTTTATGCCCACCGCTGTGCTCAGCAGGGCACCCCACTATCCTGGAGGGGCCAGGCCCTCTGCAGTGAGCACTTCTCAACCCCTGGCAGCCCCCTCCCCCCGCCCATCTAGTGGAGTCTCTGAAGAACCTCCACCTGGGCAGATTGTCTACCTGTGTGGGGGAGGGGGGAGGGGGAAAGGAAGGCCATGGGGCAGCAGACATGACCATGCCCTGGCTAGTCTGTGTCCCTTGAATAGCTGTCACATGTCCTGGTGGCCAAAACTGCAGGAAACCTGAGAACTATGCACAGCTGGGTGGCTGTGTGTCTGGGTATAACTGCCCTCCAGGGCTGCTGTGAGACCCCGCAGGCCCGTGTGTGCCCCCCAGCCTGTGCCCCTGCTGGCTGGGAGCCCATCGCCATGGCCCTGGCCACACCGCCCTGAAGGACTACACCCTCTGTTGACATGGCTTCCTCAGTGGAGGGAAGAAGCTGGCTGAGGGAGGGGCTGTGACACCCTGGGCCCTTCCATGAGCTGGGGTGACAGTCACACTTTCATACACATTCTGTAGACTTGGTGACGTGGGGAATGGAAATCATCTCAGTCTGCTGTGGTGAGGGCTGGACCAGACCCTGGAGGTCCCACTGGTGTGGCCCTGGCTTTGCCAAGGAAGGGTGTTTAGACCCAGGCCTAGGGTGAAGCTGTGATGAACGCCCTTTGCTGAGCATGGCGTGTTGGACTCCTCCATCCTCTCCTGGAGCTGGAGAAGGGCCCTTGGGAACCGAGGGGGGGGGGCTGTCAGGGTCAGGGGCCCCCCACATCAGACCAGACCCGGGCCCTGGCCTCTCCCACCCCCACAGCATCAGCCAGGAAAGAGGCCTCTGAACTGCACATCCCACTGCTGCCCCCCACAGCAGCATTCTGTCTACATCCCTGGGACAGTGAGCCTGCCTGCTCACCTGGGACAGGTCCAGTACCAAGCACATCTGCCCTGTGGGCAGCACTGAGGGCTGTGTCTGCCCCCTGGCACCAGGCTGCTGGTGAGACTGGAGAGGTGCCCTGTGGGGCTGCCCTTAGGAAAGTCATCTCCAGCCAGGATAAGCTCTGTGTGCCCACTGAGTACTGCCCCTGCTACCGCAGTAGGCGATGGTACCCACCCAATGCACCCCTCCAGGAAGACTGCCATGTCTGATACATCCCGCAGCCCTGTGCCAGGAGACCCCAGATCCCAACCTGTTCCCGTTCTGAGCTGCATCTTTCCCTTGGTATAGGCTGGACTGGGAGCCAGCAAGAGTCCTCCTCACTATCCTGGATACAGCCTGGGCCTGCCCTCATTGACACTGCCTCCTCCTTCCCTGCCCACACCTTGTGCCAGAGCCAGAGGTGGCACTGTACTGGGCACCAGTGTGGAGGGCACTGCCAGGCCTCAGGCACCCCCCACTATGTGACATTTGATGAGCTGGCGCTGACCTTCCCTGGGGCCTGTGAGTACCTGCTCGTAGGAGAGACCAAAGGCTGGTTCTGCGTGTCGGCCCAGAACCCGCCCTGTGGAAGCAGGGGTCTTACTTGCACCAAAGCACTCAGCCTACAGCTGGAAGGCACCGTGGTGCACCTGCTCCGAGGTGGCTGTGGTCCTGGAAGGTGGGTGTGGCTGGGAGCGCACACTATCGGACCCTGCCCTGGCCTTGGAGACCCTACTTCTGGAAGACTCCAAAAATTTGAGGCCTCAATGGGCCCATAGCTTGCCTGGGGGCCCATAATTGGAGAAGCAAAGGAAAAGCTCAGGAAGGTTTGGTGTCTGGGTTTGTGCACCCCAGCCTTGATGCTGCCTCTCCTCGGGGTCTGGGTATGCCCCAGAGTTTTGATAATGCCTCTTTCTATGGAGGCTAGGCTGTGACAGTAAATGGGGTGCCTATCTCACCCCTCAGAGCTCTGGTAGCGAATCGGGCTGTGAACCTTAAGGTAAGCCGCTCCGTGGGAGAAAGATGAGGCTTTCTACTCCCGTAAGGATTTACACCCTCAGAAAACCTGTACAGGGTCGCTATGGGTCAGAACCGACTTGACGGCACTTAACAACAACAACAACAACAACATCTCACTCCTAAAGGTCTATACAGGCCCTGGACTGAGGCTGCGCCAAGCTGGTCTCACCCTGGTGCTCAGGACCCACCTTGGCCTCAGCTTGCTCTGGGATGTAGGTCACACCCTGCCCTGACCACACCAACTCTTACCCTGCTCCCGCACCTTGGGCTGGCCTGAAGGCTCCGGTTCCGGACACCTGGCCAGCCCTATCCTGTAACCTCAGTGCTGGCGTGGAGGTCACAAGACTGGCTCACATCTGACCTTGCTTCTTCCCCCACCTCCTGTCCAGACTCCCCTACCCTCAAGATCACACAAATGGTTGAAGTTCCCAAATGGTGTTTTGATCATTATAAATGTTTTCCTTCATTGTAAAGACAATATTTGCTCACCAAAGAAACATTTAGGAACCACCAAGTTCGAAAAATAAGTGAAAATAAATATCTTAACATCCTACCACCCAAACACAGCAGATGGCATTTTGGAAATGATTGTGATAGAAATGGAAAAAACCCGCAGAACCCTCAAGAGGGCAGAGTGAGGGTTAGCCTGGAGCTGGCTTGGTCTTTGAGACTGCTTGTAGGCATTTGGTCACCTGGCTGTAGCTTGGAGAGTAGGCACCCACTTGTCCCTTGACCCTCAAACACAGGGCACTTCACTTATCATGCTGACATCCCAGAAAAGAGACACTTGGCATCTGCCTTAAGGTACAGCAGCAGACATGGCCCCCTGTTGGGAGAAGGTCTAGGGTCACTTCCCACAAGATCATCCTGCCTCCCTCTCCACAGGCTAGTGTACCTGCCTCCCCAGTTCCATGGTCACCTGACAGGATTGTGCAGAGACTTAGATGGAGATGCCAGCAATGACCTGAAGAGCCGCCAGGGTGTCCTGGAACCCACAGCTGAGCTGGCCGCCCATTCCTGGCGCCTCCAGCCCCTCTGCCCCTAGCCGGGAGATCTGCCATATCCCTGCACCCTGAGGGATAGGGACTGGAGCCTGTGTGTGTTGTGGGGTTCTCAGTGGCTGGGGTCAGCTAGTTGTCCCTGGAAGTCACTAACAACTGTGTCTTGTGCCATACAGGTGAATGCCCACTGGGCCTCTTGAGCCAGGGCTTGCTGTGGGGGCACTCCTGCAGCCTCTCTTCACTGGGTGCCACGGCGATACCTCCGCCAGAGACACTATGAACAGTGTGTGTACAACGCCTGCAGGTGAGGAGGGGGCACCTAGTGACTGAGGGAGTGGAGGCTGGTGGGCTGAAGAAGGCCAGAGTGTGGTCTGGGGGCGGGACTGTGGGGGGCTGGAGAGGGCAAGAGTGTGGTTTGGGGGCGTGAGTGGGGGGTGCTGCAGTGGGTGGGAGGGGTAGGGCCTGGGGTTAGGCTAAATCAGGTGTGATGGGAGGATAGGGCTTCCTGAGCTAAGTCCCCTCCTCACTCTGGGGGTGACTGAGTGTCTGTGCTCAGCCTCGCTACCTGCTACCTGCGCGGTTGAGTATGCTCGCTAGGCTGGGAAGCTGCCTGCGCTGGCGTAGCCGGGAGCTCTGTGGTGAGCGCTGCCCTGTCTGTGGTCAATAGCACGTGGTCACTGAGTGTTTGTCATGCACCACACACGTTTTAGATGATCAAAACGTGCAAAATAGCTGTCCTTGTGGAACTTGCAAGTCACTAATGACCAGCCTCTCCTCTGAAGCCCTATAGTTTATACACTTACCAGCAATGACCTTGAGCAGGGTTTCAGGGAGAGAATGCACGGCTGTGTGTTGGTGTCCTTTACCTCTCTCCCTCTGCCCTGCACATGTATGACGCCTGTGGCCCCATCTGTCCCCCCACCTGCCATGACCAAGCTCCTGAGCCCGAGTGGTACTGCCACGTGGATGCATGCGTGGAGGGCTGCTTCTGCCTGGAGGGTACCCTGTTACATGGTATGGAGATGAGGAGGGCCAGGTGAGGGGCAGCTCCTGTGGAAGAGAGCCCTGCACAATATCTTTGAGCCCTGTCCTCTGTGACCACAAGCAGCACCTGCCTGGATCCCACTTCCTGTCCATGTGAGTTGGGGGGAGGGCAGTTTCTTCCCACCCGGCGCCATGCTGTGAAGAGGGAGAAGTCCCATGTGGTCACTGTGTGCTGCAAGGACGGCTCTGTGACAGCCAAGATGACTGATGACGGATGGGGAGGGTGAGCGATGCCGTCTGCCGTGGAAGCGTCTGTCTCTGGGGGCTCACCAAAACAACCCTTCCCTCCTAGGAGTCATGACTTGTGGGGACGTGTGGGTGAGTGGACGCTCTGGCCTTTCCTGCTGTGGGGATGTCTCTAGGACCAGGCATCAGCGCTCTGAGTCCACCTGCGTGTCCTGTGCCACCCCAGGCTGCGGGGAGGCGCAGTCCTCCTGAAGCTCTGGCCGATGCCTGCCCGTGACCCTCCGCTGTGATGGGCACCAAGCACATGAGGAGGACTGCCCGTGCCCCCAGTAGTGGCTGGCCTGTGCTGAGGGGCACTGTCTGCTACGGCGCTGCTCAGATGCGGCTGATGACTTTGCTCCAGAGTACCAACTCTGTCCTTCACCAGGCAGCCCAGCCCAAAGTGAGTAGGGCACTGCCACAGTGCCTGGACAGTCTCCTCCCTGGCTATGGGGCATAGGAATTGCACCTCCGAGGAGGTGTCCTGCGGGGATGAGAGCTGCGTGGGTGCCTTCCAGCTGTGTGACGGAGTGTGGGCCTGCCCAGACAGAGAGGACCTGGGCCTGGCCACTGTCCTCTCCCCTCTCTGCTGACGCACCCCCCCCCCCCGCTGACTCCCTGGAAACTGTGTCAGCTTCCTCAGGCAGTGTGGGACCTGGTGAATGGGATTCCAGAACTGGGTGCGAGAAGGACTGAAGAGCCTCGTGGGGGGCAGCGTTTGGGGCAGGTGCTCCGGGCAGCTGGGACAGAAAGCAAACGGATGGAGGGCTCTGGCAGAATTGGAGCGCCCTGTGCTCTCCTTTAGGGTATGGGGGGTGGGGGGGGCGGAAGCTGTACTGGGCATTCCTGAGCGAGGGAAGGGTTTCTGGAAGTCCAGAAGTACTGGAGCCGCGAAGTCCGGAGGGAGGACTAGGGTGCGGAGACTAGCGGGATGCGGAACTCAGACCCGGAGCGGGTCCCGCCAAGGCCCGTAGCCTCCCGGGACACGGCCTGAGCGTGGCCCACTGCAGCGCCCGCCTGCAGCCCGACTGAATTTGCTCGCGGAAGCGGCGAGTGCGTCCCACGGGGCTGGCGCTGCGACCACAAAGAGGACCGTGCTGACCGCGGCGACTAACGCGGCTGCGCTGAGCTGGAGCCCGCGCCTGAACAGCGCGCAGCCTCGCCCCACCACGAGCAGGCCCCGCCCCTCAAGGTCTCAGCCGGCCTATCGCCCCACCCCGCTCAGTCCATCCCCTCTCTCTTCTCCCCACCTTCGCCCTTTGGGCGGCTGGGCCCCAAGCTAGGAAGGGACTCACTTCTGGGAGCTTCCCAGTCTTCGCTAGTTCATGCTTCGCTAGTTCGTTGATCTTTTCAATGAAAACTGTCGCCGCCTGAAGGGCTTGTTGGCTTTGCCCACACTTGGGCAGTCATGGACAAAAGGACGGACAGGGGCACGATGCACACGCAGCTGTCCCCCAGCTCCTCCCTCCTAGACAGTCCCTGAGTCCTGTCCTCTTTCCCAGGAGGCGGTGACCCCAGCTCCTTTCCTCCGGGCTTACCTGCTGCACCCACTCCCTGGGCTCCAAAAGCCTCCTCTGTCGTCTCCTCCATCTGTATGGGGCAGGAGCCCCCCAGGACATCTCTTGCTGCCCACAGGACCACTCAGCTGCCCCCATGTCCTGGTCTCTTGCCTGCCCCCAGACCGGCTTTGCCATGGGACCCAGGACTGTCCCCAGGGCGAAGTTGAGCTGGGTCAGGACCTTGTCTCTGTGGAGTTGAATCCAGAGCTGGAAGGTGTCTGTACCGCTCACTCCCCACTTAACTGCCTTTTCTCCCATGTTCTTCCCCAGAGGGACGGTCCCCTGCCCTGAATACTCCTGCCCAGATGGTGCCTGCATTGGTGTCCAGCTGGTGAGTCTGTAGCAGTGGGTACAGTAGGCAGGGTTGGACACTACTTGAAGGACTCTGACTCCACCCCACCCCCACCAGGTGTGTGATGGGAACACAGCCCTCCCCAGAAGAGCAAACTTGTGGGGCCTGGGGTCCCGGAGCCTGTGGACACTGTGCAGCTGGATGTGTGGGCCTCCCTGCTCACCCCTGATGTTGCAGCTCTGCCCCCCGGCCCAGACCACCAGTCTCAGCCTTGCTTCTCAGCAGCCAGTGCTGGACATCCACTGCAAGGCCTGCAGGTACTGCCCACACCTACAGAGACCTTGCCTTCAACCCTGGGGGCCTGCAGGGAACTGACCTTTACTCCCAGCCCCCACATGTTGTTGGTATTAAGTGTCATCGAGTTGGTTCCAACCCATAGCGAGCCTGTATAGGGTTCCCAAGGAGCAGCTGGTGAGCTTGAACCACCGATTTTGCTATTTAAACCAACTTTGCAGCCCAGTGCACTAACCCACAGCGTCACACCAGGACTCCTCCACGTGTACCCATACCTGACCCCAGTACGAGGATCCCACCTTCTCCTGTTGTTGTAAAGTGTCCACGACAAGTCTGTTCCAACTCACTGTGACCCAGTATAGGGTTTCTGAGGCTGTAAATCTTTACAGGAGCAGAAAGCCTCATCTTTCTCTCAAAAGCAGTTAGTGGTATGGAACCATCAACCTTGTGGTTCAGTTTTTAACCTACACAGCCACCACGTTCTGTCAGCGTCTCCTACTTTAGTTTAATGCCTCTAGGTCCAAATCAGGGGACCCGGTGTGGCACTGGAAGATAAGCACTGAACTGCAAGGTCGATTTGAACCACAAGGTCAGAGGTTCAAACCCACCAGTGCTCCTTGGAAGCCCTTTACAGGATCTCTATGAATTGGGACCAATTTGACAGCACTTAACAACAACAGGCCAAAATGGGGGTTAGAGGGAATCCACAGATGCAGTGATGGTGGCAGTAAGCAGAGACAAATACGGACTGTGACTGTGTCCTAGTATATATACTTGTGTGCTGTTTGTCAAACAGTAGCAGCACATGCCACCAATGGTCACTGGGATTGGCTTCACTCTATGGGAGTTTCATTTCTCGGGGGGCAGATGTGGAATGGGGTTATAGGTCACTGTCTGTAAATCCTTTAGTCCTGGGCAGAGCCTGCTCACCAGGCCAGGACCCCTCCTAGGTGCCAGACAGAGCCATGTGTGAAGTGTGAGTGGCAGGGTCCGGCCCTCTGAGTGGGACAGCGCTGGTGCGGGGACTCCTGCGAAGTATGCCCGTGTCTGCACAACTGCACTGTGAGCTCTTCCCCATACTGCCCGCTGGACAGCAGGTAAGGAGCAGGCGGGGGTGGGGTGAGGTGGACTGCAGGGCCAGCCAGGGCTCAGGGCATACACCTGACTCAAGTGCCCACAGGGCTGGGTCCTGGTGGATGGAGTAGGAACAGCATGTTGCACTGAATCCTGCCTGGTGAGTGAGTCTGGGGATGTCAGAGGAGCCCCAAAGGAAGGAGGAAGGGAACTGAGAAGGAGCCAGGGATGGAAGCACTGAGGTCCCAGACTCAGGGAGGCATAGAAAGGGCCCTTCAGTGGAAGGGTTTCTGGTTGGGCAGCCCCCAGTGTTCTGCCCTCTGGGTCTGCTAGGGTGTCCCTGTTCCCCTAAGAACGACCAAGACACAGCTAGACTTTCTCAAAAGCATCTTTACCTAGAAGTGGAGTTACACAAGAAGCAGGAAATAGTAAAGGCTCAAAGATTGATGTGTTTACGGGCTCATAGTTCTGATCCTAAAAGTGCATCCGCAGGCCTCAAATCCCTTCTCCCTGACCCACTCTGCTGAGATTAGGACAGACCAGCATGGACGGTTGTACAAGCTGTTAACTGCACAAGACAGTGTCAGTTTCCCTTCTCCAAACCCATGCCCACTGTGCTTTCACCCAGAGGCTCCCAGACATGCCCTGTTTGTCCTACAGCCCTGGATCAAGGGTGCAGCTGCTCAGGTCTGGCCCCGAGGTGGTTTCAGACTGGGAGTTTTGTTCTATGTTCTTCTGCATATTCAAAGAAAGTGAAATCAACTCACACCCAAGGAGGAAGAGCCTTTCCTGGCTGGGGATTGTTCCCAGGTTCCCCTGGGAAGTCCTGGGACAGGAAGGTGATCCCAAGAGTGATGGAGTCCATCTGTGTTCCCCCACACAGGAGAGAACCAGACAGCCCACCCCATGGCCACTCTAGGCCCATCTACTGTCCCCAGCTCCCAGATCGGACCTCCCCTTGCTACCTATCTTCTGCCTCTACCAGGAGAACAGCTGGGGTATATTCCTTGTGTTTGTGGGGGAACGGGAAGTCTGAAGGTATGGACACCACCCCACCTGAAGTTGCCTCCCCATCTGTGCTCTGGTCTGTGCTAAGGTTGGTAGTTTGGGACTCTCAAATTCCCAGCTCCCACTGTGGCTCCTGACTGTCCAACAGACTGCCCAATTCAGCTTCCTCCCTCTCCTGCACCCAGACCCTTGCTATTCCTCACTGGGCCTGGCTAGACAGACACCCCAAGGGGAATTGCATGCTGTGCCCCAGCAGTTGGAACACCTGGCCTGGGCTGCTTCTCAGGGTGCTCCCATTAAGGGGAGCATTGGGGATACCAACTCTTGGCCATACACCCCACCCTTGTTCCTGTAGCTGGACTTGCAGAGGCCCGGGGACCTCACTGGTCAGTGCAGGCTGTGCTGGGGACAGGGTGGGGGCAGGGCTGCTCCCTCAATCCTGACCCAGCTGTGTCTCCCAGGCGCCTTCTTGCAGGGGGCAGGGACCTTCAGCTTCTCCACTGGCTCGAGGACCTTGATGTTCTGGGTGGCGCCCTCCTCATGCCCCAGGTATTACCTACGGGGCCCCCTGAGCCCTAGCCAACACACCTCTTTGAGCCCACAACACTTGGAGGGTTAGCAGTCCTCTCTCAAATACGAGGAACAGGTGGGCAGCGTAGAGGAAGCCTGGACGGCCCCCGAATCCCTGGAGTTTGCATCCTAATAATTGTGCAGTCGGCCTCAGAAGCAATCTGACCCAGGTCTGGACCAGAACCTCATATTCTTTAGGGCAAGGGCTCTGGGGTTGGGCCAGGTCGGGGACTTGGGTGAGTAGAGAGAGGAGACCGAAGAGTGGGGTGCATTCCAGGGAACGGCCGCCCTATAACCTTAGGCATTCTGGGGGAGATGGGATGGCTGGACCTCGGCTGTGCGGACCTTTGTCCAAATGGTACAGGCACGGCACGTGCGGGTCTGGCCTCAGGGCCCTGCCGGTGACATTTCTCTGCGGGTGGAGCTACTCGGCTGTAAACCAGGTAAAGTTGGGCTGCAGGGTTCTGGAGGGGCTGTGAGCCAGGTGCAAGTGGGCTTGGCAGGACTGAGTCAGGTACCAACGGACCTGGGGCCTGGGGCCTGAGCGGGGCTGGAAGGCTGGGCGGGGCCGTGAGTCTGGTGTGGGCGGGGCTGGAAGGCTGGGCGGGGCCGTGGGTCAGGTATGGGCGGGGCTGGGCAGCGCTGTGAATTAGGTAGAGGCGGGGCTGGCGTCTGAGCTGCGCCGGTAGGCTGCACACCGCAGCAGACAGCCTGGTAGAGGCGAGTTTGGTTTGTGTGTGTGTGTGTGTGGAGGGGGGGAACATCCTAGCTGGGCTGTAGCTAGGTGTGGGAAGTACTGGGTGTAGGCGAGAGCAATGGGGCCATCATAAGTCTCAGTCAGTATCCCATCCCTTTGCCCCAGCATCCCCACCGTTGTCGCCCGCCTGCCTGGGCGCTGGGCCGCTGTGGGCCAGCGGTGAGTGTGCCCTTAGCGGGGCCGGGTACAACGGCATGGATGACTGTGTGGACCGTTCGAATGACGAAGGCTGCGGGATCGGCGCCGGCAGGTCCACGAGGCACCCTCTCCGCTCACTGCACTGACCTCAGTCCAAGGCGCGCTGCCGGGCAGGGAGAGTTCATGCCTTAGAAGCCGGGGATTCCAATTCTGACCATGGCCAGCAGCTTCAGCGTCACGTGTAAGCTTGTTAGAAAGCTTACAAGCCCTGCCCCCATTTGCCAAAGCAGCGTTCCAGCCATCTGCGGTGGTGATTCGGATAACTCCAGTGATCTCCTCCATGAACGTCCCCTCCCCAAGGCCCAGCTCCAGGGTGCATCCCACCGAGAAGACCCCAGGCCCCTCCTCCACTCAGCCCGGGGACCCCTCTTATTCATCCTTGTTCACGGGTGTGCTGAGCCGAATGGGGGCCAGCGAATAGAGGAGCACTGAGTTGGGAAGTGTGGGGGACAAGAGGCCGTACCCACAGACACCAGTGCATGGACGCTCAGGGCAGAGGGTTCAGGGGTCTTCTGAGAGGGATTAGAGTTTGCGTGGGGATCAGGGTAGGAATGAAGGACTCAGCACATAAATGAGTTGAGTACGTATGCGTGGGTATGTGTGAGTGTGAATATGTATCTCTGTGGATGTGGGTTAGTGAGTGTGTGTGCCTGTGTGAACATGTGCTAGTGTGAGTGTGTGTGTGTCAGTGGATGTATGTGTTAGTGTGTGTGTGTATGTGAGTAGATATATATGTGTGTCTCAGTGTGTGTGCCTGTGTCCGCTTGTGCGTGTGTGTCAGAGTGCATGTGTGTGTGAGCATTAGAAGGTGTGTGTGAATGGACATGTGTGTGTTTGTGTGAGCACAGGAGGGTGTGTGTGAGTGGATGTGTGTGTCTGTGTGTGAGCACAGGAGGGTGTGTATGAGTGGACATGTGTGTTTGTGTGAGCACAGGAGGGGATGTGTGAGTGGATGTGTGTGTCTGAGTACAGGAGGGCATGTGTGAGTGGACATGTGTGTCTGTGTGATCAAAGGAGGGCGTGTGTGAGTGGATGTGTGTGTCTGTGTGTGAACACAGGAGGGAGTGTATGAGTGGACATGTGTGTGTCTGTGTGATCACAGGAGGGTGTGTGTGAGTGGATGTGTGTGTCTGTGTGTGAACATAGGAGGGAGTGTATGAGTGGACATGTGTGTGTCTGTGTGATCACAGGAGGGCGTGTGTGAGTGGGTGTGTGTGTCTCTGTGTGAGCACAGGAGGGGATGTGTGAGTGGGTGTGTGTGTCTCTGTGTGAGCACAGGAGGGGATGTGTGAGTGGGTGTGTGTGTCTCTGTGTGAACACAGGAGGGGATGTGTGAGTGGACCTGTGTGTCTGTGTGAGCACAGGAGGGAGTGTGTGAGTGGACCTGGCCCAGGCTCTGTCCTGCCTTGGGCTTGATGAGGTGAGATGAATAAAAGCAGGCACAGGAGGAGGGTGGAGGGAGAGACTCTCGTGGGAGGTACCATCTGGGCTGAGCCCTCCCTTCTCATGGGGTTTTGCAGGGACTGAGCTCTGGCACCCACAGTTAGGGTCATTGGAACCTCCCACACGTATGTGTAACCTTGGCCCACGAGTCTGAGCTTCTGGTCCCCTGACCTGTGACACACCCCTGCCCCAGATGAGGTGTTCCACCCAGGAGCTGGGGAATCACCTTTGTGGACTGTGGCCCCATTGACCTTTCCCTGCACCCCTCACTCACAGAGAAGGGGCCAATGGGTCCTTTCACAGTCTCTAAGTCTCCTCACCTGAGTTCTGGAGAGCCCA